GTAAGGAGTTATGAGTAGTGAGTAGTGAGGAGTGCGAAGTGTGTAGAGGGTAGTGCATAGTGAGTAGCACGCAGGGAGTAGGGAAGAGGGAGTAGACAGTAGCGACTAGCGAGGAGTGACTGGTGAGCAGTCAATATTTCGCAGTGAGTAGAGAGTAGTGAGTAGTGAGTGGTGAATAGCTAGTAGCGAGTAGCGAGTAGGGAGTAACAAGTAGGGAGTAGTGAGTAGCGAGTAGCGAGTAGGGCCTTCTGAGTAATGAGTAGTGAGGAGGGAGTAGTGAAGAGTCAGTACTGAGAAGTGAATAGGGAGTAGTGCGTAGCGAGTAGAAAGTGGCGAGTAGCCAGTAGTGAGTAGTGAGTGGTGAGAAGCGAAAAGTGGGTACTGAGTAGTGGGTAATCAGCAGGGAGTTGCGAGTAGAAAGTCGTGAGTAGTGAGTCGTGAGTAGTGAGTACTGAGTAGTGAGTAGTGAGTAGCGACTTGCGACTAGGGATGAGCGAGTATGGAGTAGGGAGTAGTGAGTAGCGAGTAGTGCGTAGTGGATAGTGAATATTTCGTGTAGGGTAGAGAATAGCAGATAGTGAGTAGTGAGTTGTGGGCAGTGCGTAGTGAGTAGTGAACTGTGAGTGCTCGGTAGTAAGTGGTGGTTAGTGGGTAGTGGGTAGTGAGTAGTGCTTAGTGAGTAGTGAGTAGTTGGCAGTGAGTAGTGTTTAGTGAGTAGTGAGTACTGAGTATTGGGTAGTGAGTAGTGAGTAGTGCGTTGGGGGTAGTGAGTAGGGAGCAGGAAGTAGTGAATAGTGAGTCGTGGGAGCGTAGTGAGTGGTGGGCAGTGGGTAGTGAATAGTGCGTATCGGGTAGCGAGTAGCGCGTCGGGATTAGCGAGTAGTGAGTAGTACTGTGTAGGGAGTAGGGAACAGGGTGTAGCGAGTAGTGGATAGTGAGTAGTGAGTTGTGGGGAGTGAGTAGTGAGTAGTGAAGTATGAGTAGTGGATAGTGGTTAGTGGGTAGTGGGTAGTGAGCTGTGATTAGTGAGTAGTTGCTTGGAGCTGTCTTTAGAAAGTAGTGAGTATTGAGTAGTGGGTAGTGGTTAGTGAGTAGTTTCTAGTGAGTAGTGAGGAGGGACTAGGAAGTAGTGAGTAGTGGGTAGTGGGTAGTGAGTCGCGGGTAGTGAAGAGTGAGTAGTGAGTAGTGAGTAGTGAGAAGTGAGAAGTGGGTAGTGAGTAGCGATTCGTGAATTGTGGGTAGTGAGTACTGCGTAATGAGTCGGGAGTTCTGTTTTGGGCTCGGGTTTGGGTTTGGGGTTAGGGTTGGGGGTTAGGGTAAGGGTGAGGATTAGTGTTAGCGGTGGTCGGGGTCGTGGTCCGGAGACCGGGGTCGCCGTGGCGAGAGGGGGGAGGGGGTCGAATTTGGCGGCCAAAGGGGGGAGGGGGGGGGGTTCGGACCCCCCCCCCCTTTGAAAGGGGGGAGGGCGGTTTCCCCGACGACGGACCTGGAAAGAGGGGAAGGGGGGGGGGTCCCCGACGACGGATCGGGAAAGGGGGGGAGGGGGGGGGGCCCGACGACGGATCGGGGAAGGGGGGGGGGACCCCCCCTTCGGGTCATCCAGCGGCGCGCCCTCGTGTATATGCCGGTGCTGGACTTGTTTCGGTGTTGATGATGGTTTTATTGGTTGAGCGTCAATCGGGTTTATGCTTGCGTTTGGAAAACATCCACCTTGAAATGCTTCGCACCGCATTTTCTGTTGCAAGGGTTTCGATGCGCTCGTGTCGGCGCGCGCGTTTGGCAAGCATTGAATTATGTGATACATATTCGCACATTGGGCGCATGCGGGATCAACGCGAATGCGCCGCCTGGTGAGATGAGGATGTGGGTTTTGGTCGAGATTGCTAAACTCATCTAGGTTTCTGCACGGTTTCAGCACATGCGCGCGGGCGGGCATTTGCAAGAATTGTCTTGCACCACCTATGGTTTTTCCCCGGACACCCCCGTGCAGTTCTCACCTCCCCTCCTCTCCTCCGTTCTCCTTCACGCTGGCCATCACCACTCACCACCACCATCACATTATCTGTCATGGATTATCATCACCATAATCATCACCATCATCGGAGCTCCCAATCACACGCACTCACACACACACACTCCCACCATCATCATCATCATCATCATCATCATCATCATCATCATCATCATCATCATCATCATCATCATCATCATCATCATCATCATCATCATCATCATCATTTTATTCACAGCCATTACCATCACCACCATCATCATCCATCACGTCATCATCGCACACTCCCGCATCCACGCATACTCCGCACTCATTCACATACACATTCGTATCGTGAGAGTCTCGAGCGTGAGCTTTGCCTGTGAGAGAATCGCGAGAAGGGTCCCCAATTCCATGTTCGAATCCGAGCGGATCATCAGAAAACTTGTATTTGTCATCATGTTTGGCATCCTCACGCCTGAATCTGGAAGTCGTCTTGAGCGGGAGCCTCGTCTGAGTGAATCGCGAGGAAGTCTCGAGCGGGGTCCTGTCCCAGTGGGGTCCCCACCTCCATGTTCGAACCAGGACGGGTCATTCAAACAACCTGTACGCGTTGTTTTTTTGTTGTGCTCCTCAGGCTTGACTGTGTAGGATTTCTTGAGCGGGAGCCTCGTCTATGAGTGAATCGCGAGGAAGTCTCGAGCGGGGTCCTGTCCCTATGGGGCCCCCACCTCCATGTTCGAAGCAGAGTGGGTCATAATCGTCATTTTCGGGCTTGAGAACTGAATATAGAGGAAGTCTCGATCGGGAGCCTGGTCGTTTTTTTAATCACTGCTTTGCCGATCGGCGCGGGCCCTCGCACCCCTCCCGGTAACCCGCTCGGATTGCAAACATGAGCTGCGGGCCCCACAGGGAGGGGGCTCCCGCCTGAGACTTCTTCGCAATTCACTCACAGACGAGGCTCCCGCCTGATACTTCCTTCCTCCATATTCAGGCGCGGCCCCAGGGGGCCAACAGTGACGACAGTTACAGGTTCCCGATAACCCGCTCGGATTACAAACATGAGCTGCGGGCCCCATAGGGAGGGGGCTCCCGCCTGAGACTTCTTCGCAATTCACTCACAGACGAGGCTCCCGCCTGATACTTCCTCCATATTCAGGCCTCATGGGGCCCAACAGTGACGACAGTTACAGGTTCCCGATAACCCGCTCGGATTACAAACATGAGCTGCGGGCCCCATAGGGAGGGGCTCTCGCCTGAGACTTCCTTTCAGTTCACTCACAGACCAGGCTCCCGCCTGAGATGAGTGGGTGGGTCAGTGAATGAGTGAGTGAGTGAGTGAGTGAGTGAGTGAGTGAGTGAGTGAGTGAGTGAGTGAAGATGATGATGATGATGATGATGATGATGATGATGATGATGATGATGATGATGATGATGATAATGATGAGGATGACAGTGATGACGATGATGATGATGATGATGATGATGATGATCATCATCATCATCATGGTGATGCTGCTGACGATGATAATAATGATGATTAGAGTGTGAGTGAGTGAATGGGCGGGTAGGTGCGTGAGTGAGTGAGTGAGTGAGTGAGTGAGTGAGTGAGTGAGTGAGTGATGATGATGATGATGATGATGATACTGATGATGATGATGATGATGATGATGATGATGATGATGATGATGATGATGATGATTATTAGAGTGTGAGTGAGTGAATGGGCGGGTAGGTGGGTGGGTGGGTAGGTGCGTGAGTGAGCGAGTGAGTGATTGAGTGAGTGAGTGAGTGAGGATGAAGATGAAGATGAAGATGAAGATGAAGATGATGAAAATGATGATGATGATGCTGATGATGATGATGATGATGATGATGATGATGATGATGATGCTGATGCTGATGATGATGATGATGATGCTGATGATGATGATGATGGTGATGATGATGATGATGATGATGATGATGATGATGATGCTGATGCTGATGCTGATGCTGATGATGATGCTGATGATGATGATGATGATGATGATGATGATGATGATGATGATGATGATGATGATGATGATGATGATGATAATATTTATGATTAGAGTGTGGGTGAGTGAATGGGCAGGTAGGTGGGTGGGTGGGTAGGTGCGTGATGAGTGAGTGAGTGAGTGAGTGAGTGAGTGAGCGAGTGTGTGAGTAGGTTAGTGAGTGGGTTAGTGAGTGGGTGAGTGAGTGTGTTCCTGTGTGTTCCTGCGCGGGGTGTCCACAGAAAACAAGAACCCCACTTTGGATGTGTAGAAAAAGTGCCGATCCACAGCGACGGGCCTGAAAACGCTAGAAACGCGCAGCAAAACACGCCTAAACAACGAAGCGTTGTTTTCAGCGTTTTCAGAAGCCCAAAGTGCAAAATGGGGAAAAAGTGCCCAGGGCGGTTTTCAGAAGAACCAAGCTACCCAGCGTATGAGGCGGCAACGAGGCGGCATCTGGCGGCATCGTGGCGAAATTTCGCCGGTCCTACCCAGCGCACGAGGCGTCCAACCCCGACGGGCCAGGCGGCAACGAGGCGGCAACAAGGCGGTATTGAGGCGCCAACGTGGCGAAGCCTCGCCAGACCTACCCAGCGCACGTGGCGTCAACGGGCGGAAACGTTACAAATCTTCGCCAGACCCAACCAATCCTTTAGGGAGACACGGTGTTCGGGAGCGTCCGCGTCTGCAACACGAGCTCGGACCAGAACGTGACTTCGGGCGGAGCGAGAGGTGGACAGAGAGACAAGAGCAGCACAGAGTCGCCTCGCTTCTTTCCCCTCGTGGGGATGGGGGTGGAAGGAGCAGACCCAGCAGGAAGACGACGGCTGCAGCTACTGCGGCGACGACGATCGCTGGAGGCCTCCGGAGGCCACGCGAGGCCTCTCGAGGCCCATGCGGGGCCAGAGACGTCCAGCGGCTTCGATTCCCGAGCGTCCTCCTCAACAGCGACGGCGGCAGCGACTGCGGCCGTGGCCGCCGGATCCCCGCAGACGTTCCGGAACGAGCGGTGGCGCCTGGACGACGACAGCCTCGAGCTGTACAGGCGGATGTCCGACATTCTCGCTCAGATGGAGGCGCGGTGCCTCCCTCGAGGGGAGTAGAGGGAGGGAGAAGGAGGGGGATGAGAAGAAGTATTGGGGGAGGGAGAGGAGCAGCAGGAGCAGGGGTTAGGAGGAGGACGACGAGGAGGAGTTCTCTCTCTCTCTCTCCCTCTCCCTCTGTTGAGGTAGTTGAGGGTGAGGCGCGAGCCCGTGGGAGCGTAGCAGGAGGAGGCGGAGGAGGTGGAGGAAGGGGAGCTCCAGAGGTACTGCTCGATGTGCGCTCAGCGGCGCTGCTTGGCAGACGGTGCTCCAACTCACGTGGTGGGCACGTCCGAGATCTCCTCCGCAGTGCCGCAGCAGCAGCAGCAGCAGCAGTACTGGCTAGTGTCATCAGGAGGCAGTGGGGGGACAGGGGGATGGAGCAGGAGCAGGAGCGGGAGCGAGAGCAGGAGGTGGAGGCCGGGCAGGAGTAGGAGGGCGAGCAAGAGCGGGGGGACTTCGAGAACGAGCAGGCGCAGCAGCAGGAGGAGGAGGGCGGTGGTGGCGGCGGAGGCGTCGGCGATGCCGGCGGCGACGGCGATGCCCGCGACGACCACGACGAGCGGGCCTGTCCACGACGTGCGACGACGTGCCAAAGAAGGTGCGGCACCGGGAGCGCGCGGAGCAAGCGGATGGCCCCGACTTCGCAGAGGCGCGCGCACGCCGCGCAGCGCCGCGGCCCCACCGCCGTCGTCGCCGCCGCCGCTTCACGCGTCGTCGCCTCGTGGCCGCCGTCGTGGTCGCCGCTGTCGTCGCCGCCGCCACCGTCGCCGTCGCCGTCGCCGTCGCCGTCGCCGTCGGGTGGGTGGCGGCGGCGAGCGCGCGCCCTCACGGGCCCAGAAGGCGCGCTGAAGGTGTGTCGGCCAGCGGCGGTGTCGGAAAGCCAGTCGTAGGAAAGCGTGGTTCGTGGCCAACCCAATTGTAGGCACGCGTGGTTCGCTCTTTCCTGCAAGGCGCTGTGTCGTTTTCGCTCGACACGCTCGCATATCCGACATGCATGAAGCGGTTGTGTGTATGATTTCCAACCTGTAGTTCTGCGTGAGCTCGATGCAAGACAAAACCATGTTCCCAACCACACCGTCGACCAAACACGCCGTCAGCGCAGCCTTGGACGACGACGCCCCAGCAACCTCGGCCCTCCAGCCTCGCCCTCGCAGCTCCACGACGCCGACGGCGGCAGGCGCCTCCCGGGGGCCCCGCGAGGGCCGGAGACGACGACGTGCCCGCGCGTGCCCGCGTGGGGCTCGCGCGGGAGGTCTCGACCACTTCCCCGGGGCTCGCTCTTCGCCGCGAGTCGTTGACCGACGCTCTCGAGGCCCGGCGAGGGCCCCCCGGAGGCCGAATCGGGAGCCCTGAGACGGGGGTCAGTGCAAACGGGGGTCAGCCAGAGCGCCGGATCCTGCAGGATCCTGCGAAGACCCCCTCTGGCTGACCCCGGGTTAGCGAGCCGCTCGTGGCCGCGAGGCGGCCGCGCATGTTGGCTGACCCGGGTTTGCGAAGATCTGCGTTGCAGTTTTTTTTTTCTCTTGCATTGCAGTTTTTGGTTTCCTGCTGACCCGGGTCTGGATTGACCCGGGTCAGAAGATCCCCGACCGAAGACGGCCCAAGTCCCGCCCGCTGCACCAGCTTTCTCCTGGAGCGTCGGACCTCGGGGTCCAGGACCTCACCCTCGCAGTGCCACGGCGCCCAGGATGAAGTCGGGCCTGTCGCTCTACAGGAGTAAGATTCAAGAATAGTCAAAAAATGGTCTGGGGACGATTTTTTGACCATTGTTGAGTATTTTAGGGCATTTTTGGACTACTTTTTTGGTTTGTCTTCCAAGATCCCCCGTGTAGGGGGACACGCACGACTTGAGCCCAGGACGGCATGCCGCCTCCTCGGGGGCCCTGCGAGGGCCGGAGGCGGCGGCGTGCCCGCGCCCCCCTCCGGCAGGAGGAGCCGCCGCCCGAGGGCTCGCCGCGCAGGCCGGAGGAGCCGCCCCGGGAGCCGCCCTCGCAGCGCCGGGACGCGGCGCGCCTGCGGGCCACGGCGCTGAGCCAGGGCAAGCCGGCGGGGACGGGGAGGGCCCGGATCGGGAGCCGAAAGGGGGATCTTCGACGAAAAACAAAAAATACCCCCAAAATACCCAGACTATTGTTGAACTATTTTTGGATTATCTTCGGGGTATTTGTTATTTTTCGTCGAGAATCCCCCTGTAGGGGGACAGGCCCGACTTAAGCCTTGAGACGGGGGTCAATCAAGCAGTGGCGAAACGTCCTGGCTCGCCTATAGCCCTACCAAGCGATGTTCTAAGAACCTTGTGTGGTTTCCACGAAGTGTTCTTAGAACATGTCTGGCGGAGTCTGTCTCGTTCTAACACATCGGGTCAATGTTCCAAGAACATTGTTTTTGTTCTGAGAACATTTTTGGGTACTAAAACATGTCGTGGTAGGACTATAGGAATGCCGGGACGGTCGGTCCCTGCTCAAGTCAATGCAAGCGGGGGTCAGCCAGAGCGCCAGATGTTGCAGGATCCTGCAGGGCGAGGGTCGCATTGACCCAGGTTTGGGTGCAGGATCCTGCAGGATCTTGCAGGATCCTTCTCGCATTGACCCGGGTTTGGGTGCAGGGTATTGCAGGATATTGCAGGATTCTGCAAGGCCTGACTGACCCTGGATTGACCCGTGTCAGAAGTTCCCCGACCGGACGGGGACGTTTCGGGCGTTTTGGGTATGCAGTCCATCGGGGGTGGATTGTCCGTTTTCGGTTCTCGATCGAGGGCGCCGCGGCCGTCGTTTTCCAGGCTTGCGCCCGCCAGGCTTGGGCCCGAGGGCGTTTTGACAGAACCTCGTTTTACTACAGGGGGTGTTTTAGTTTAGGTATACATAGGGGAACGAACAATGACATAAACATGATAGCTCGGAGGTCCGCGCAGGTTTCTCGGATCGGCGCTGGGGCCCCCTCCCCTGGCGGCGCCTCTGGCGCCGCCATTGGCGCGCTGCGCTCGCCAGTGAGGGGGGTCCAGCGCGGATCTTAGAAATCGGCGCGGACCTCAGAGTTCTTATGTTTATGTTATTGTTCGTTCCTCTAATACAGTAAATCCGCAAAGTAAGGATGTGCAACCTTCCCAAGGGTACCCTTGCATCCTTGCCTTTTTGGTTTAGTCTTGGCGACTTTCGTTGGCCGCGCCCAGCTCGAAAAGCTGTGGAATGGACGTCCAAGGCCTTTGCACCCTTATCGCGTATCCTTATGGTACGGGTTGACTGGAGCCAGGACCCCAGTTCGGGGGAGCCGGTCAGTCATTGGGCCCCGAGGCCCAAAATATGGTTTGGAATCACCAAGCCAGGTCTGCCGTAGCCGTGGCTTGGAATCACCAAGCCACGTGTGGCGGCAGTTCCGGTTAGTTGGATGGGGCGGGGGGGGGGCGTCTTTTGGTATCCTTGTATAGATCATGAAGCCAGGTCCCATTAAACCCAGTCTCGCCAACCCCCGAGACTGGTGCGTAAGCCGGAGAGGGCGCGGATGGGTACGTCTCGGTCGGGAAAGTAAGACTTGAGTGTGCCAGAACTTGGGTTTGCCGACGCTTTGTGACCAAGCGCGCCCTGGATTTTGACGGTCCAGTGTTCGTGGGATGTCTGCAGCGGATCTCGCGTCAACTTTCAGATTGGGAGTCGTCATTCAGAAGCCGGGCAAAGGCTGGCAAACCCGTGGCTGGTAAAACAGAGCTCGTTTGTTTTTTCCGTGAAGCAGCCCGTTTATTATTTCGTGCGTTGAGCTTGATTCCAGGAATTTGTTCTCCTCTTCTGGGACGACCGTTTTAGCAGCCACGGATTTGCCAGCCCTTGCCCAGCTTCCAAGTCGTTTTCATGAGGGCCCGTTCAGGCCAGCCCGTGCCCCCCGAACGAAGTTCTTCGCGCTGAGCCAGGGCGAGCCGGCGGGGATGGGGAGAGCGCGGACGGGTTTCTCCAAATCTTGTAACGACGGGGAGGGGGTCACAGCCCTCCCAGGCGAGCAGTTTTTAGACCGCCCCCCCCAGACCAGCCATGGAAGGGTGGCCTTTTGCCCAGACGCCCCTGGAACCCTCCCAGGCAGCTCCAGTGAGCCCCCCCCCCCTCCCGAATCAGACCACTTCCCCTCTGTTGCGGAATCTGGAGTACTCTTCGGGTGTTGCTAGAACAGGTGCGCCCTCGAGTGCGCGAAGCTATTCGCTCTTCGCGGTTCGGCTTCGTTTCCTCCTCATCCTGCTCTTCTCCCCTCGGGGGTGGCGCGAGAGTGCAAATCTATTCGCGCTTCGCGCAGCACGAAGCGCGAAGTTAGGCGCCCTTGTAGAAGTGCTCCTGGCCCAAGGTGCTCCCCAGGATTTCCAATGAGGCCCCCACGGTCTCCAGAGCACCCCTGACGAGGCCCAGGGGGGCCCATGACCTCAAACACTGAGAGGAGCGCTGGGGGCAGCCTGGGCCAAGGGAACCTTTCGCAACCCGCGAGCGTTGGTTAGTAAGTCACGGACGACTCCGCTCGTCGTGCATTGAGTCTAGATCGGCGAGCATCGCCAAATAGCGCGCAGCGCCGCGTAGCTTTCCAGAGCGACCAATGGCGCCCAATACCGCTATGTGAGGGAGGTCCGCTGTGCGCGCCATTGGGCGCGCTTTTGGGCGCCATTGGGGCAACCAAGAGCTTCCGCGAACTGTTGTCTCAGAAGGCCAGAACTTTGTTCGATGGCTCGACCCGAGTGTTCGAGGGGTTGGTGCGGGATTGGCCGAAGGTTGGCGCGGACCTCCTCCTCCTCCTCCTCCTCCTTTTCCCCCTCCTCCTCCTCCCCCTCCTCCTCCTCCTCCTCCTCCTCCTCCTTTTCTCCTCCTCCTCCTCCTCCTCCTCCTCGGATAGTTGCTGTGCGCTCTCTTCGTTTGCTGCTTTCGCGCCCTCGGGCGCCCCCGACGCCAGATCCTTGCGGTGGCACACGGGCCGCCTGCGCGCTTCGCGCCAGGCCTCTCCCCTTTGCGACGGTGCGGCGGACGCAGACGGGCTCGCTCCGCCCAGGCTTCGCTGCCCCCCCCCGGACCTCTGACGACACGTGCTCTTTTGGGTCCAGGCGCTCCTCCAGCCAGGATGGATCCCAATGGATCCCAAGGGCTGAGCCCGATCCATCCACTGGACAGTACTCCACAGGGTATCATCTGAAGATAACGAGCCCAGGCTTTCATTCCCAGATGATCAACCACGGCCGACGAGGAGTTCGGAGGTGGCCTCCCTCCAGCATTTCTGCTCCCCGGCACGCCATCGGGTCACGGGACCACCAGACACGGGTCTGGGACGCAGCGTTGCCCCCAGGGGAGGGGGCAGGGAGCTCCGGGGCCGCGGAAGTGGAGCAAACAGATATCCTCGGATGACGTCTGGACCCAGTCCCCGATCTATGGCCGCGTGCATGCCGCGTGATCCCCAGCGCTGTCATCATCATCCTCCTCCTCCTCCTCATCATCATCATCAGCATCGGCAGCATCAGCAGCAGCATCAGCATCAGCATCATCATCAGCATCAACATCAGCATCATCAGCATCATCATCAGCATCATCATCATCATCATCAGCATCATCATCATCAGCATCATCATCATCAGCATCATCATCAGCATCATCAGGTCGGTCGGCGCTTCAGGCCCGCTCGAGGCGCCCCTGCGCCTGCGCGGCATGCCGCACTGTGGCGCCAGCCAGGCTGGCGTGGAGCCCGCGATCGGGGCCGCCGTCTCTGAGCGCAGCGCGCAGAAGCGCGGCTGCCACGCCTCTCACCAAAGACAGGCCGCTGTGGACGGTCCGCAGGGTGGCAGGCATTGATGCGCGGGACAGGCGCGACGAGACGATGCGCCCCTGGCGAGCAATTCTTTGGCCCCCCAGTGCGGGCAATCCAAAAGCCGACATTACTGACGTGACATGTTGGCCCCTCTGTGAAAGAAGGGCTTTTGGGATGTGTGCAGAGGCCTCCCTGTGAAAGCACGGCTCCTCCAACAAGCCCATCTGTGAGGGAAGGGCTCGTGCTCTCGTCGTCCCTCCTTTTGGCTTCTCTCGCTCCCGCCCCTCCCTCGGTTCACAGCGCTGGAGCTCCCTTCTCGGCCGCTCGGCATCCTTGCCGCGCCTCGCGGGCGCGCAGGGGGTCAGTCCAGAAGCGCGGCGCAGGGGGCCTCTGGAAGGCTGCCCCGCTGCGCGCGCCGAAGGCGGATGGGCGTCGGCCTCGCGAGGTCCCGCAGCGTAGCGTCAGTTCGAGGCCGCCGCGGGGAGAGCGCGGTCGCCTTCGGCAACTGTCTTGCCAACGCGCAGCGGCGGACTGCCCTCCCCCGCACCGTGGCGAGCGCCGCGTCCGTCGGACGAGCTCCGCGCGAAGGGGCGCGTGCTCCGTCGGGGCAGGGCGCGGGAAAGGCATCGACGAGGCAACGCGTGAACCTTGCCGCTGCGAGCCAATGGTTGGCGGTCGCTCTGGTGCGAAAGTTGGGCCCAGAGCAGAGTGGCAGGAAGCCCTCGTCGCGCCCTGTCGCGCCTTTTGCCATTGCGCAGGCATGCGGCCTTCTCACCGACGCGCCTTCGTCGCGCCGAGCGGCGCTGGAACTCGCAGACTTGGCGCGCATTTCTCATTTGCTCGGCGTGCCCTGTCTGGGCGAGAACTAGGCGACAGCGACGCGATATGAACGCGGGGGGAAGGGCAAGGGGGGGCATGCTGGGTTCGCTCGCACCATATCTGACGGCCTACCCACCGTCCCTTCCCATTGCGTTGTTTTTTCTTCTTCTGGGGACGCGTGTCAATAGAGGGGAGGAGGAGGAAGAGGAGGAGGAGGAGGAGGAGGAGAAGGAGGAGGAGGAGGCGGTGACGGATGAACAGGAGGGAAACGATGATGATGAAGGCTGAGGACGAGGACTGGCAGCATTAGCGTGCATTGGAGCGGAGGGAGCCGCATCAGCAGGGGGACCAGGAGAAGGCGGAGGATAGGAAAGGAGGTTGGCGACAACGATGTGGAAGGACGGGGACCCACAACAGTGGCAAGCGCTGTAGCGAAAGCGCGATTCTGAACGGCGGGAGCAAAGCCCAGATCATACAATGAGGCCAGCGCTGCAGTGGCAACGCCATGTTGAGGCACCGAAGCGCTCCGATCGAAAAAGCAAGAACGACCAACTCATGGAATGCAGTGTGTGTGTGTGTATGTTTGTGAGTGTATGTGTGTGTGTGGTTGTTGGTGTACGTGTGTGTGTGTGTGTTTGTGTGTGTGTGTGTGCGTGCGTGCGTGCGTGCGTGCGTGCGTGTGTGTGTGTGTGTGTGTGTGTGTGTGTGTGTGTGTGTGTGTGTGTTAGTTAGTTTGTTTGTTTGCTTGTGTGTATGTGTGTTTGGTCAGTGTGTTCCTGTGGTGTCTCTCTGTGTGTGTGTGTGTGCGTGCGTGCGTGCGTGCGTGCGTGCGCGCGTGTGTGTGTGTGTGTGTGTGTGTGTGTACGTGAGTGTGTGTGTATGTGTACGTGTGTGCGTGTTTTAAACATACTCGGAATGGGGCGGGCCACGATCCAGCCATCTTCGGGGGAGAGAGGAGAGTAGTATTCACATTCAGTCATTGCAATGCGGACGAGTGTACGGTCCATCCCTCCACCGTGCCTGGATTGTGGGTCAGAGGGCTCTTGGATGCCTGTGGGGATTTCATGTGAGGTCTCTCGGAAGCCTTTTGGAAATGGCTTTGGGGTGTCTCGGGGCCTCTCGGGGACCTCTTGAGGGCCTCTTCGGATCTCGGTTGGGCCTCTTGGAGGTGTTGGGGCTTCTTTGGAGCTTCTTAGCTTGCTGGTGGTCTCGGGGATCATTTTGGGGTGGAGGACTGGGAATGTCAGTTCGAGTTTACCCTCTTGGGTCCCTGTTGGGGCCTTCTTGGGGCTACGTTGAGGCCTCTGGGGCCCATCTTTGGCACGCCTTGGGGCCGTCCTGAAGCCCTGTTGGGCAATCCTGGGCGCTTGTTTTGGTTCCAATGTCGTTCGCCCTCTCGCGGGAGGTACCCTCGGGGCACCTTTGGCCGTCTTGGGTGTTCGAAGCTCTGTTCGGAACGTCCCAGTCAGCAATCTGCACGGTTTTGCCTTCTGTGTCATGCGCTGCAGTCGTCATCTGTCGGGCGCGTCGCCAGGATAGCCCCCTTGAGGGGCAGCGGACTCCTCCTCCTCCCCTGCTCGTTTGCCGCGGCAGAACAAAAATCGGACGGGCCCGCCCCCCACGTTTTTTTGGGGGGGGAGAGCCCGGGCCCTGGCTAAGTGGGGAGGCAGGCGTGCAGAGCCGGGGCACAGACGACAGAAAAGGCACCACCCGGGACACACCGACACTCAGCCACGCGCAGAGGGGGGTGGGGGGAGGGGGGAGGGGTTCTTAGAAGCACCCCTGCTTCTTAGAAGGCGCGGGCTTTATCTATAGATGTGAGGCTGGCGCCTTCTAAGAAGCAGCCTCCTTCTAAGAAGCCCTCCCCCCTCCCTCCACCCCCTTGTGCGCGCCGCCAAGACACCAGTGCATCGTACGGTTCCGCAGCCGGGCGCCCCCAGCGGGGCCGGCGGACCTCTGCGAGGTAAGGTTTTTGAGGTTTCGCACGTGCTGATGACGTGTTTCGAGGGTGCCGTTCCCGTGCATCCCGCGCAGGGCTTGCCCAGTCAGGCTGACCACTGTGGGTTCCATGGCTCGGCTCGGCTCGTCTCCTCGTCTTTTTTTTTGTTGCCGTCGTCGTCGTCGTCGTCGTCCTGCTCCTCCTCCTCCCTTTGCTCGTCTTCCGCCTGATCTTCCTCCGACTCCCCCTCAGTCGTCCTCATCCCCGACCTCTTCCTCGTCCGTTCCCTCTTCCTCCTTCCTCTCCCCTTGCTCCCCCCCATCCTCATCCTCATTCTCCCCCTCCTCCTCACCTACCGCCCGCCTGCTCCTCCCCGCCCTCTTCGTCACGGTCGCCCCTGCCCTTGCAGCGCGCGGGGGGCCGCGCCGGGGGGCGAGACCCGCGGCGCGGGCCGCGGCAAGAAGCACTCCTCGGCGGCGCCGGCGGGCACGAGATGACATCAAGGCGCCCCCCCCCGTCGCCTGCCTGGCCTGTCGGCGGCGAGCGAAGGTCAGCGAGCGAAGAACGGTATAAAATAAACTTTTTCGCTGTCGGGAGCGCCTGTCCCTGGGCGGCTGGAAAGTTTATACCCCTACGGTGCCACCGTAAGGGTATAAACTTTCCAGCCGCCCTGGGGCAGGCGCCCCCGACAGCGAAAAAGTTTATTTTATACCGTTCTTCGCCCGTTAAGAGGGGGGGAATCGGCGTCACCCCAACGTACTGATACTATGTGTGCGTCGGTTTCCCAGGGGAGACGCGTGCCCCGAGGAATCTTACAGAAAATGCGTCGTGGCTGGCGCTTTCTGGCGACACCGCACGGTATACTATATGTTCGGATCGGACGCGCGCTTCCAAGGATTACGTCTCTGTGCGTCCCATGGGAAGTGAGAAGGAGAAGGCCCTCTCAGAGGGCGGCGGGACTCCTCAGAAGCCCTCCGCGCCTTCTGCGAAGTTTCTTGTGTTTTCGGGGAAGGCTTATAAAACTTCTCAGAAGGCCGGGGGACTTCCGAGTCTTCTGAGGAGGCCCGCCCCTTTTCACTTCCCCCACGGGCTCGCCGCCGAGCCTGGGATCGTGGGCGCCAAAACCGTCATCACGACGTTCCTTGCCAGGCAGGGCTCGACCTAAACGGTGTTTCAGCGATCCCGTGGACCGTTTTCGTTTTGATATTTCGTCTTGCCGCAGAGGCGGAACGAAGACAGAGCGGTGGACAAGGAAACCAGCACGAAGACGGAAAACACGGTTTAGGTCGAGCCCTGTGGCTAGGCTCATTTTGGCCCTAGGATCCGTGCACGTGCCTGCTTGGTCAGGCCCGAGAGGGCGCCTTCCCGAAGCTGGGTCTGGCGGGTGGGCCTGGCGTGTGTCGGCCGACGTATTGCCACCCTCTGCACCCTGGAGGGACACGGAGAGGCGATGGGAGATCGAGGCGTTTGAGCGCCTGCAGCCCTCCGGAGGGGCTCCAGGGGCTTTCATCTGCCCCTGCGTTCCTGCATTTCCCCTCCCCGTCTCTCTCTCCCTCCGCCTCTTCCTCGTGCCTGCGCCCCTCCCTCGGGCACTCGCTGTGCGCAGTGCTCGCCGTCTCCCCTACCCGACGATGTGCTGGCTCTGCCCCGCCCGGCCCCCGCTCTCTCCCTGCGCCCGCGCAGACGCTCCCCCCGACCGTCGAGGCCCGTGCGCCTCCTCGAGGATCTAGCCCGGACGACTTCGGCGCTCCCGAACGGCTCGCTCGGCTCCGCGCCTGCCCCGCGTCCTGCAGTGACCGCGATGACAGCTCCCCCTCCCCCTCCCTCCTCTTCCTCCTCCTCCCCCCCCCCTCCTCCTCCCTCCCCCTCCTCCTCCCTCCTCCTCCTCCTCCTCCTCCTCCTCCTCCTTCCTCCTCCTCCTCCTCCTCCTCCTCCTCCTCCTCCTCCTCCTCCCCTCCTCCTCCTCCTCCTTCTCCTCCTCCCCTCCCTCCTCCTCCTCCTCCTCCTCCTCCTCCTCCTCCTCCTCCTCCTCCTCCTCCTCCTCCTCTCCTCCTCTCTCCTCCTCCTCCTCCTCCTCCTCCTCCTCTTCCTCCTCCTCCTCCTCGACGACGTGCGGGTTCGAGTGGCGGCGGCGTTGCCAGCCGCCGCGGGCAAAGGTCTCGGACGCCTCGTCGCCGTCGCCCCGGGCGGTCTGGGCGGGCGGGCCCGAGCGGCCTTGTCGAGCGGGCGGATCGCTGACGCGCTGAGTCTCGCGTGGATGGCAAGGGAGGTAAGTCTCTGGGGTGAAGTCGGGCCTGTCCCTCTACAGGAGGGACATTCAAGAATAGTCAAAGAATAGTCTGGGGACCATGTTTTGACTATTCTTGAGCATTTTGGGATTATTCTTTGAGTATTTTTTAATCTTTCGCCCAAAATCCCCTGTATGGGGACAGGCCCGACTGAACTCTAGGGGAAATTCGCGCGGCTCCCAAGACAAATCGTCAGGAATTCCCGAGCGAGAGCGTGATTTTTTCCGAGTGTGGAGGGCGCGGCGCTTCAATGACTTGCGAGGACGTCCCAAGCGAGAGCGCGATCTCTGGGTAACTTGTGAGGAAGTCCATCGCAAGAGTTCGTGTTCGTTTGCATTGTGAGGAAGTATCTGGCGGGAGCCATTGTTGGGGTAAACCGGTGGCCAACAACACAGTCCGAGTTTCCCTTGTTCGAAACCGGGTGACAGCCCCGTGATTTGTTTCCAATTGAAATATTACATTGTGCGCCAAAGGCGTTGGAATCAACAATATACCTACCATTTAGAAATGCGAATCCAATCAGCACCGTGGAGCACCAATACAGCCAGGCACCCAGTGACTGTGTAAGGCCGTTCTGCCCTCTCTCTTTGCTGCTCATCCCTGTCGAAAGCCATGCAAAGTGGTCGGGGAGTGCCCTCTCATGATCCATATCTTGCCGCCGCGTGCACTGTAATGATTTTGAGGGGTGGCGGGAGGTGCGCTCATGGTTCATGGTTGGCGTCAGCCGGAAGTGGTGTTGTTCAGTAGTCTGGAAGAGTCATAGGCTCCTCCCCGCAGGGGGAGGAGAGGGTCAGAGTAGAGATCTTTCAAACCGCCTGCTTCCAGAGGGCTGGTGGGACTTGCAGAGGTCTGCACAGTCTTCTTGGGTCGACGCTGGACGCCCCTCCCAACACTCCCCCTCCCACTCGGCGCACACGTCGCCAACACCTGCCGGCGCGCCCCGTCAGCCATGCCCCGTCGCATATTGGCCCGCGGTGCGTGCAGGGCGGCGCCTGGCTGGCTCTGTGGCCTGGGGCCCTGCGCCGTGGCGCTGTCCTGCCTCTTTCCCTCCCGGCAGCCTCGGCGCCAGGAGCCTTCGCCCTGCCCCCCCCCTGGGGGGCCAGGCGCCTCCTGCCCACCGCTGTGATGCGCGCACCGGCCCGGGCCTGGCGTCGCTGCCCCCACCTCGCTCTCCCCGCGCCGCTGCCCCCGCCTCGCTCTCCCCGCTCGCCCCGGCCGTGCGCGTGCCCCCCGCGCTGCCCTCTCGCTGTCAGACGTGCTGCTGCCCTCGCCTTCGTGGCCGGGTCGGGGTCGTCCTCGGCCCTTCTCGGCCCCGCAGCTTCGGGTCGCGCTGCGGACGCCATCCTGCCTCCGCCATCGGCTGCACCGCCCTCTACGAGGGGCCTTCCCATCGCCCCTGCCGGCTGCCACTGCAGCCTGCTCCAGCGCAGTCCGCCCTCCGGCTGTCTGCCTGGTGCCTCCGCAGTCTGCCCCTCGGATCCTCCGTCGGCTCTGCTGCCGCTGGCCTCCGCTTCTCTGCCTCGCTTGCCGGTCCACAGCTCCCCGCACTGCAGCCGCTGCCCCAGCCCCCGGGTGTGGCTGCGACGCCGACCCCGTGCCCGCGGACAGGCGCTGCCAGGGGTGCTTGGCCGCCCCAGGCGCCCCGCCGCGGATCCCGCCGCGTGAGCGCGCGGCTCCCCCCCCCGTTCCTTCCTCCTCCTCCTCCTCCTCCTCCTCCTCCTCCTCCTCCTCCTTCCTCCCGCGGCCGCTCGTCTTCGCACGTTCTTTTGTTTCTGCACCCGGGCCATTCGCAATGCCGTCCCCCCGGCCTGCGGAGCGTGTGTGCGGCCTGCCCCTGCCGCTCTGCGGCGGACGAACGTGTGAACTCTGCGGGGGCGGCGTCGGAGGCGCCTCCCAGGGTGACTGGGAGGGGAGCTCGCACTGGTTCAATACAGTCAACGCGCATAGTAAGGACAAACGACTTTTTCAAGGATGCCCTTGGGTCCTTGCCTGCCTCAGCCTTTGCGGCCCGTCCCTAGCAATTTTCGCAGGCCAGAATACTTCAACTTCGGCCTCCAAGGGTCTTGCGTCCTTGCCACGCGTCCTTACTATACGTTTTCACTGTACGTCTGGGCCTACGTGCCTGTAGGCCCTCCAGAGGATGCTCTAGCAACATTATGTTGGCCGCTCGACATGTTCTCAGCTTTCTGGCTGAGACCGTCTTTGTATCCCCACTCTGGCTCCTACGTTGTAAGAACATTGTGTTCGCCATTTGAAGGCAGGTTTGTTCTAGCACCTGTCGTGGTAGGCCTACAGGGCTGCCCAGACGGTCGCCTTGCTCAATGTTGGCGTTCTGAAGACAACACGTGGTCCGCCCCAGGCGCCGCTTGGGACTCAGCATCGTCTGACCGATCCCCATCCCCCGTGGGCCATGGTATTTCAGCTCCCCCAAGTCACCCGCCCAGGTGGGGATAGTTGCAATAATCTACTTGGTGTTTCGTACAATGGTGGTTTATCGCTGACTGCTCCTGCATTCAGAAGCATCCTAAGCAGGCCTATCCAGCATTTCGTAATAGTCATGGTAGTTGGCCGGCCATGCAGGCAGTCCACGCAGGACCCACGTCCTACGATCCACATTTGGAATTACGGAATGGTGGTGAAAGACTGGGGTATCAGATGTTGGTGATTATTTGTTTGCACACTTGCTCAACCACCAACGCTCCAACCCCCATTTCTCGAAAATTCGCAGGTCGACCCCGCGAGACCCGATGGGAACGGCACGCTGCCCCACTCGGGTGGGTAAGTCGGCCGCTGGGGCCAAGGCCATGCCCGCGGGGATGGGGATCGGTGAAACGCTGCTCGCGGGGCGGCCCCGCAAGAGGCGCTGCTCGCCGACATCTCCCGCGCGACGAGGCGCCGTCCCCGCACAGGCGGTGGAGGAGGAGGAGGAGGAGGAGGAGGAGGGGGAGGGAGGAGGAGGAGGAGAGGAGGAGGGAGGAGGAGGAGGAGGAGGAGGAGGGAGGAGGAGAGGAGGAGGAGAAGGAGGAGGGAGGAGGAGGAGGGCGTTGGCGTCCACGGCCACGGCCACGGCCGCGACCACATCTGCGACCGCGACCACGACTGCGCCCGCAGTTGTGGCCGCGGCCACGACTGCGGCCGCTGCGGCTTCGACCATCGCGCGGCAGCAGCGCCAGCAGCGTCCGCAGACGCGGCAGGCGAGGTCATGGGAGTGGCAGCGTGAGCAGGTGGAGGAGCATGAAGGGGAGTTCGACGGTGAGCATCATGATCAGGAGGAGAATTATTTACGCTTCGCGTATCCCCACCAGCCCATCTCAAAACAGCAATCTTGCGAAGCATGCCGACAGTCGTGTTTTTCAGGCGTGTTTCCGCCTGCCCCCGCATATCTCCCCTGTTCCTCCTTCCTCCCGCCTCCTTGTACATCCTCCTTGTGGTGGGAGCGGGAGAAGGACGAGGCGGAGGAGGAGGGAGAGAAAGCGCTCCTCGTGGTTTGAGTCGTTTGGGGTTTCTCGTCCTGGTGTGAGTCGTTCGGGCCCTTCTTCCTGGTGTGAGTCGTTCGGGCTCTTCGTGGTGTGAGTCGTTCGGGCTCTTCGTCCTGGTGTGAGTCGTTCGGGCTTCTCGTGGTGTGAGTTGTTCGGGCCCCTCGTCCTGGTGTGAGTCGTTCGGGCCCCTCCTCCTGGTGTGACTCGTTCGGGCTCCTCGTGGTGTGAGTCGTTCGGGGCCCTCGTCGTGGTGTGAGTCGTTCGGGCTCCTCGTGGTGTGAGTCGTTCGGGCGCCTCGTCCTGGTGTGAGTCGTTCGGGCCCCTCCTTCTGGTGTGAGTCGTTCGGGCTCTTCGTGGTGTGAGTCGTTCGGGCCCCTCGTCCTGGTGTGAGTCGTTCGGGCTCCTCGTGGCGTGAGGCGTTCGGGCACCTCGTACCCTTTTGGGGCGTCTTGGGGGCCTCTTGGCGGCCCCAGGGGCTTCTAGGAGCGTCTTGGGTGCCTTGGGGGAGCCTCTTCGGGCCTCTTGGGAGCCTCTTGGAGGCCGCTTGGGGCGTCTTGGGGGCCTCTTGGCGGCCCCAGGGGCTTCCAGGAGCGTCTTGGGTGCCTCGGGGGAGCCTCTTGGGGCCTCTTGGGGGCCTCTTGGGGGCATCTTGGGGGCGTCTTGGAGGCCTCTTGGGGGCCTCCTGGGGGCCTCTTGGGGCCATCTTGGGGCCTCTTGGTGCCTCCTGGGCGCTTCTCGATCAAAGCAGAGGGAAGCTTCAATTAGCACTGCCCCCTCAGAAGGGTAAAATGGGCCCAAAACCTTCGTAAAATCGATGATTTTGCTTTGAAAGAAGAGGGGAGCTTTAATGAGCGCTGCCCCCTCAGAAGACCACAATGGGGCCAAAACCGTAGTAAAATCAATGATTTTGGCTTCAAAGAAGAGGAGAGGGTTTTTTCTGCCTCCCCCCGTCGGGGCCAGAATCCTCGTGATGGGTATCGTTTTTTAGCCCTCCCAGGAGTCGAAATTGACCCCCCTGACGACCCGCCGGACCCCCTCACCAGGCCCAGGGGGAGGGGGTAGGGGGAGGGGTAAACCCCTCCCCGAAGGGGAAGAAGGGGGGTTGAGGACAGAGAGAGCTCTCTAAACCACTCACGCCCAAAGGGCTGGTGGGATTTGGATGAGAAGCAGGACGAGCAGGAGCAGGTGTGGGAGCAGGATGATGGGAGCTGGAGGATGATGGAAGTAGGATGATGGGAGGAGAACTTGGAGGGGAGACAGGAGGAGCAAGATCTGGGGAGGCAGCAATAGTAATAATGATGGTGATGCTGATGCTGATGCTGATTCTGACGATGATGATGATGCTGATGATGATGATGATGATGATGATGATGATGATGATGATGATGATGATGATGATGATGATGGTGGTGATGATGATGATGATGATGAGGATGATGGTCGTTCTGATGATGATGATGATCATGATGATGATGATGGTGGTGGTGGTGGTGGTGATGCTGATGTTGAGTCTGATGACGTCGTCGACGACGATGGCGATGACGATGACGAAGATGATGATGATGATGATGATGATGATGATGATGATGATGATGATGATGATGATGATGATGATGATGATGATGATGATGACGACTGGTGATCGTGCTGATGATGGTGATGGTGGTGGTGATGGTGATGGTAATGGTGATGGTGGTGATGATGCTGATGATCAACATGCTGTTGATGGTGAGGTTGACGATGATGATGCTACGTGTGATGCTGCTAATGGTGACGGTGATGCTGATGATGACGGTGATACGTTTGGCGATAATGTTGAAGGTGATGATGATGATGATGCTGATGATGAGGTGGATGAGCATTTTGATGATGGGGGTCATGGTGATGCTGATGATGCTGATTAGTGATGTTGGTATGTGTATGGTGTTGCTTAGTAACCGCGTTCTTAGTACGACGTTGATCATGATCATGATGATGTTGATGTCGAGGTTGCTGCTGGTGCTGAGGATGATGAATTTGTTGTTGTCGATGACGATGCTGGTGGTGATCATTGTGATGATGATGATGATGCTGATGCTGCTGCTGATGATGATGATGATGTCGATGACGATGGGGATGATGATGGTCGTGATGGTAGCGGGTGTGCTGATGATGATGACTTGAATGTCGATGGTGGTAACAATGACGGGAGGCTTACGGTGACGGTGGAAAAACAGATGATGAGTCCTCGCCCCCTTTTCTTGCAGGGTGATTGTCATGGCGGAGGCTGTCGTTGTGATGCTGAGGATCATGGCCATAATGATGGTGGTGCTGCTGCTATTGATGACGAAGGTGACGATGGCGATGAAGGCGATAACGAGGACGAGGACGAGGACGAGGAGGAGGAGAAGGAGGAGAGTGAGGAGGCGGATGCTGATGCTGATGCTGTTGATGATGATGTTGATGATGATGATGATGGTGATGCGGATGATGACGATGATGATGTTCTTGCTCATGATGGTGATTGCGAGAGTGACGATGCTGATTATCAAGATGATGATGCTGATGATATTGATGATGATGACCATTACGATTATGATGATGATGATGCTTTTGTTGCTGATGCTGATGATGATGATGATGATTCTAAGCATGATGCCGATGATGATTATGATGATGTTGATGACGACTATGCTTATGTTGATGTGATGGTCATGATGGTGATGCCGATACTGAGAAGGAGGACGGTGCTGTTACTGATGATGGTGATTGCAAAAGTGGCGATGCTGATTTTTACGATGCTGATGATGATGACTATCACGATTACGTTGATGCTGATGTTCCCGCTGCGGATGCTGATGATGATGGTTATGATGATGGCGATAATGATGATCATGATGAAGCTGATGCTGACGCTAATGGTGGTGAGGATGCTGATACTGATGATGTTGATGATGTTGATAATGTTGATGATGCTGATGATGCTGGTAATGATGATGACGATGATGATAATGACAATGGCGATGTTACATATGATGCTGATGCTGATGATGTTGATGATATTAATGATGTTGATGGTGATGATGATGCTGCTGATAATAATATTAATAATAATAATGATGATAATGCTGATGATGATGATGACGATGAAGATGAAGACGATGGTTGTGGTGGTGATGATGATGCTGCTGATGATGATGACGACGATGTGGATGAGCATGTTGATGATGGTGGTGATGGTAATGATGATGATTCTGTCGATGGACATCGTCGCTACCTATCTGGGGCCAGCTTCACCAGTGACGATCGGGGCATAACAGCCCGGTTGCCGCTCGCACTCCGCTCGCCTCGACGCGAACCCGTGGGCGGCGGGCCTCGCACAGGCGCCGCAGCTCGTGCCAGGGCAGAGGGCAAGGACCCCTTGGCATCGCTCGCACGTGTGTGTTTTTTTCTCGGTGGGGACCATCGAGGACCTCATCTTACGAACGATACGCACGAGGAGTGGATGTCCGAGAGATGGCGCGAGACGGCCCGTCGATGGCTGCCCTGCCTTGTGAGACGTCCGGCCGGCTGCACGCGGCGAACGTGGAGGCCCGTGGACCTCGCCAGGGGGGGAGCGGGTCCCGAGGCAGGTGGGTCCTGAGGTTTCTTCCTTTCCGTTTTCGGGCCCGCGGGGCCCGCCACAGGCCCCGGGACCGTCAGAAGAGCTGGCCACAGGCCACGACTGAGGAGGAAGAGCTGGCCTTGGGGGAAGGTCACCACCCACCACACCACCCCAACCCAACCCGAAGGCCTCAGTTTGCCCTCCCTTTTCAGTTGGGGGGGGGGGTCCGGGAACACTGAAGAACCACGCACAGGGAACCCGTGCCTCCCCAACCTGAAATTCGGGTCTTCGGGTCGGGTATTGGGGTGGCCTGGTAGGTAGCCAGAAGGCCCCGGGGTCCGGGCCCCGCTTCCCCTGAGGACCCGCTGCCCCCCGGTGGAAGGAGGCCTCGGAGGAGCCGGCGCGGCGCGCAGCCTCTGGCGGTGGCAGGGAGCCCTTGCGCCGGGCGCGCGCCTGGGCGGCGGCAGCGGAAGCGGACCGGCGTGCCGCGGTCGCTTGGCTCGGAGGGCGAGGCACACGCAGCTGCTGCGAGTCAAAGCTCCTGCTGGGCTGCCAGCTGGGACTGGCTCCGCCGAGGAGGCGGCTCCAGAGGAGGAACAGAGAGCGCTACTGCTGCCCTCTGCCCCTTTGCCCCCTTTGAGTCCTCCCGGGAGGTCCTCACGGAGTCCTCCCAGCCCCGCAGTCCTCACGGACTGCGCGGCCGCGAACCGTCATCTAGACGAGTTCGTGGAGAAGCGTCTCGTCGCCGCGGGGGCGGCGGAGGGCGATGCGAGGGAGCCGGGAGGGGCAGAGCGCAGCAGCATCTGAAAGTCGGGTCATGGACAGTTCGTGTTTGGACATCTCTTGAGGGAGTGCGATGCTGATGCTGATGGTTGTGATGATGATGGTGGTGATGATGGCGATGGTGATGATAATGGTGATGGGGATGGTGATGATGGCGACGATGACGATGATGAAATGATGGTGATGATCATGATGATGATGCTGATGATGTTGATGCTGATGGTTGTGATGATGATGACGTTGGTGGTGATGGTGATTACGAGGATGACGATGACGCTGCCGATGACGATGATGCTGAAGGGGTGGTGATGATGATGGTGGTGATGTTGATGATGGTGATGAAGTTGTGATGGTTATTGTTCCAATGATGGTGGTGATGAGGATTAGGATGATGGTGATCCTGGTGATGGTGTTGATGATGGTGATGATGATGGTGATTGTGCTGATGCTGACTCTGATGTTTGTGATTGTGGGAATGATGGTGATGGTGATGGTGAGGATACGGATGCGGGTGACGATGATGATGATGGTGATGATGATCATGATGGTTATGGTGATGATGGTTATGATGATAATGATGATGTTCATGATGGCGATGGTGGTGATGATGATGCACCTGATGATGATGATGATGATGATAGTCATGAGGATGATGATAATGACTATCATGATTGTGCTGGTGACGGTCATGGTGATGGTACTGTTTATGATAATGATGATGATGATGATGATGATGATGATGATGATGATGATGGGGAGTTGGAAACTGATTGTGATGATGATGGCGGTGATGATGACGACGATGACGATGATGATGAATCTGCTGATGATGATGTGGATGGTGATGATGATGGTGACGATGCTGGTTGTGGTGATGGTGTTGGTGAGGATGGCGATGACGCCTGTGATGAAGATGATAATGGTTGTTGTGATGATTGCGATGAATGGTGATGCTGACAATGATGATGATGCTGGTGGTGGAGATGATGCTTCCAATGAGGATGGTGGTGGTGAGGTTGATGATGGTGCTGATGATGATGATGATGATGCTGATGGTGGTGATGATTGTTGTGATGATGATGGTTGTGATGGTGAAGCTGCTGCTGATGATGATGGAAATGATGATGATGATCATGATGTTGATGGTGATGATGATGATGATGATGGTGATGATGATTGTGATGATGATGGTTGTGATGGTGATGCTGGTGCTAATGCTGATGATGGTGATGGTGGTGATGATGGTGATGTTGGTGATGATGGTGATGGTGATGCTGATGACTATGACGATGACGATGGGGATGATGAGGATGATGATGATGATGACGATCATGATGATGATGATGCTGATCATGATGATGATCATGATGGCGATTGTGACGATGATGATGACGATGATGCCGATGATACCAATGATATTGATGATGACGATCATGATGCCGCATGCTGAAATTAATGATGACGATCATGATGAGGATGATGATGATGGTGATGATGATGATAATGACGATGACGATGGTGATGATGGTGATGGTGATTGTGGTGCTGATGGTGATGATGAGGAGGACGAGGAGGAGGAGAAGGAGGAGGAGCAGGACGAGAACGATGATGATGATACTTCTGATGCTGATGATGATGATGATGATGATGATGATGATCTGATTACGAAGATGGCGGTGGTGGTGATGCTGATTATGATGCTGATGATTCTGCTGATGATACTGATTACGATGGTGATAATGATGGTGGTGATGATGATGACCATGCTGATGATGATGATGATGATGACGATGATGATGATAGTGATGATGATAGTGATGATGATGATGATGATGATGATGATGACGATGATGATGTTGGTGGTGGTGATGCTGCTGGTGATGATGATTATGATTACGATGATGATTACGATGATGATTCCGATGATGATACTGATGATGCTGCTGATGATGATGATGCTGATTGTGGTGATGATGATGATGATGATGATGATGATGCTGATTGTGGTGATGATGCTGATGATGCTGATGCTGATGATGATGCTGATACTGCTGATGATGACGATGATGATGATGATGATGATGATGATGATGATGATGATGATGATGATGATGATGCTGCTGCTGCAGCAGCTGATGATGATTCCCCTCCTGCTGTCGAAGCGCTCGTCACACAGCCACCGCAAACCGCCCGAGGCCCGCCACCCCTCCGGGAGCGTCGGTGGCCAGGCCGGCGCACGTCACTGGCGGGAGCGAACTTCACCGCCCTTGCCCCGCGCGGGAGCGGCCCTCGCCGCGCCAGCCTCGCCTCCCGCTCAGCGCTGCGAGCGGCTCCGCTGGGGTTGCTGCGCAGCGCCTCCTCCTCCTCCTCCTCCTCCTCCTCTTCCTCCTCCTCCTCCTCCTCCTCCTCCTCCTCCTCCTCCTCCTCCTCCTCCTCCTCCTCCCCCGACCCGACCCCCCACACCTGGGCATGGAGGGCTCCATTGGGGCCTCTGGGCAGGGCTGGGAGCGCTTGCTCCGCTGGTGCTTGCTGCGCAGTGCCTCAGGCTCCTCGAGCAAGCCCGGTTTCGTCGGGTGCAGCCCGCGCCGCAGGCGGCGGAGGGCGTTTGCCTTTCTATCGGACGTCGTCGAGGTTTCAGGCACGGCTCCGTCAGGCCCATGACCCTCGCCGACGCCGCGCTGCAGCCGCACACGTTGCAGAACACGCGCGGCCCCGCCACGTAGAGCACGTGCGTGTCGTGGATGGCTGCATTCCACCACGGCGGCCTCGGCGGGGGAGGCACGGCCGCCACCTGGCCGCCGCCTCTGAGAGCGCCATGCAAGGGCAGTCGCCCGAACTCTGCTAAGGCTAAGCAAGGGGTCACCGCGGAGACATGGCAGTCTGATTGAATGTTTCAACAGGTGCGACCCTGCGGAGCTCGGCGAGCCAGCAGAGTCTGAGCATCAGTCTGTTCGTGCTCGCGAGTGCGCCGCCTTGTTCGAAGGCGCTGCTCCGTCCTATGGTGTTGACTTGTCGGCACCAGCACCTGCAGCTATCCCGCCGCCGCTCGACGGCTGGAACGAGGAGGTTGCCATTGCGCGGGATTTGCTTGGCGCTGATGATCCCGGGGGAGGCTGTCGGTCAGTCTTCGTCGCTAGACGGGGGAGGCGGACACTCGGCTGCTTCCGCCGGGAGCTCTGCCCTCTTTTGGCGGGAGCGGAGCTTCCGCTCGCGGCCCCCCTGTGCGCTCCCGCTCGGGACTCTGCGGCACGGGGGCCCTCCGCTCCCCTCGGGTCTCCGCGGCTTGCCCGCCCGAGGACTTCCTCGCCTCGCCTGGCTGCCTTGCCTCGCCCGACGAGCGATGCTGCGCTCGCCCGTGCCCGTCGCCAGCAGGGCGATGGATTGGACAGGACTGGAGGCGAGATTGACTTGTTTTTTGACAGCTCAGGCTGAGGAGTCTGGGCTTGCTCGCCGCTTCCCGCTCCGCAGCGACGAGTGTCTTGCCCTCTCGTAGGGGGGAACTGGAGGCCCGGAGCGCGGAGCTCAAGCACAAGCCTTGGGCCAACAGGTGCGTAAACTCAATGATTTGGGCTTCCTCGCCAGGGCCATCTCGGACGCTCCAGCGCCTCGCGACGCCCCCCGTTCAGGTCCAGGGGGAGGGGGGTCGGGGGAGGGGTAAGCCCCTCGCCGAGACTTGCCTCTCAGCGTCCTGCCCGGGCTGCGGCCGCGCCGCGCGGCCGCCAGTGCCGCGACCAAGTACGGTCTGTGTTTTTCGATCTCTGCAGTCGAAGTCGCGAGTCGCTATGCTTGGCATCGCTCGGACGTGTGCACGTTTCGTCGACGAGGGCCGTCGAGGAGCATCCTGGATCGTCTGGCGGAGCGGGCACGCACGAAGCCGAACCCTGCACGGGGAGTGGCCGCCCGAGCGATGGCAGGTGTGGCGATCGCCACATGCTGTTTAGGCAAGACGCTGAGATAGAGACCATGTTGGGTTCGAGGAGGAGGAGGAGGAGGAGGCGGCGGAGGAGGCGGAGGAGGAGGAGGAGGAGGAAGAGGAGGAGGAGGAGGAGGGGGAGGAGAAGGAGGAGGCGGAGGAAGAGGAGGAGGAGGAGGAGGAGGAGGAGGAGGAGGAGGAGGCGGAGGCGGAGGCGGAGGAGGGGCGGCGGTTCTCGGGCCGTTCCTTGGATCTGGGTGGGCCACCTGCTCGAAGCCGAGGCTCGTCGTGGCCGGAGAGCAAGTTCCTCTTCGTTCCTCCGTCGGCGTTCCTCCTGGCACGGGGCGCCGGCGGTAGACGCCCCCCCATTCTCGGGCAAGGGGGGGTTACGAAGTCTGCTGCATGCAGCTGGCTTCGGCCCCACCGAGGGGCCCCATTCCTCGATACACGGTCGCCTCCCGGCGCCGGGAGGCGCCGGGGGCAAAAACAGCTACGTGAGCTGATTCTCAAACCTCCCCTTTGCTATCCCCCCCTTTCGCCCGACCCGAGTGTACCGTCAGGGGTGGACAGAACCCCCACCCTGACACGTCGATGAGTGAAGTGTCCGTTTTCGGTTCTCGAGAGGGCGCCGCGGCCGTCATTTTCCTGGCTTGCGCCCGCCAGGTTTGGGGCCCGAGGTCGTTTCCATGAAACCACGCTATACTAAAGGGGGTTCTGTCCATCTCCGATACTGGCTACTGTGAACCTCTGTGGCGCATGTGCGCGGCGCTGGGGCGAGCACAGCATGTCGAAAATCTGCATTTGCTCCATCCGCTCAGCAGCCGGAGAGTGGAGAGGCGCAGGTGTGCGGTGCTCCGGCGCGCGCCAGATGCAACCTTTGCGCCGGGGCTCAGGCGCGAGGCACATTCTGAACACGACTTGTGCTCCATCTTTGTAACGGATGAATTTGTTCAAAGACGAATCTGAGCAGCGTTCAGGCGAGAGCCACATTCTGAAAACGAGTGTCGAGGATCACCTTTTCGCTATGGACGTGCACAACGGTAAGGTGAGAACAACAGTCCGAACACGAACCGTGTTCCATCCGTGTAACAGCTGGACAAGTTTAGGACGAGTGTGTGCGGCGCTATTCAGGCGAAAACAACCTTTTGATGACGACCCCCCTCCAAAATCGTGTCGGGGCCATACGTGGGGAGCCAGTCCAAGACGAAGCACCCGGCCCACCCTATCGACACGTTTGGTGGTGTGTGTTGTATGACGGTGAGGAGTTACCTATAAGGAACAAGGGTCGAGGAGGAGCGGAGAGCGAGATGGGAGGAACAGGGAGGAGGGAGGACGGAAGGGAGAAGTGTGAGGGCGGAGGAGAAGAAAGAAGGAGGGATGGGAGGGAGAAGGATATCGGGGGAGGGAGCTGGCGGGAGAGTAGATAGGGCAGATGGCGGATGGCGGAGAAGAAGAAAGGAGGGGGAAGGATGGGGGGGGAGGGAGGAGAATGGTATCGGAGGAGGGGGGAGGCAGGGAGGTCCGAGGACGAAGTCTCCCCCTCCCGTGCGGAGACGCGAGCGCGCGCCCCAAGCGCCCCTCCCGCCCGGCGCGCCAGTTTTCTGTTGCCATTTAGAGGGCGTGGAGGGAGTGCGCCGGCCCCAGTTGGCCGCGGCGCCCCTCCTCCCCCCGCCCTCTCGAGGGCCCTCCCCATGTGGGCCAGCGCCAGCGCGCGCTCCCTACCCCGCTGGGGAGGGGCAGGGGGAGGCGCCTCCCTCCCTCCTGCCCGAGCCTCCTCCCTCCCCGATCCCCCCCCCTCCGGCCCGATCCTCCTCCTCCCTCCTCCTGCCCACTCTCTCGCTCTCTCTCCTCCTCCTCCTCCTCCTCCTCCTCCTCCTCCTCCTCCTCCTCCTCCTCCTCCTCCTCGTCTTATAAGTCGTCCTCCTCCTCCTCCTCCGCCGGCCTCGGCCCCACCCCTCGACCCAGCCCCCTCCTCGTCTGGACCTCGCGGGGTCCCGAGGGGAGCGGGCCCCGAGGCCCTCCGCGGGCCCCTGGGCCCCCGCGGGGCCCTCCGCGGGCCCCCCTCGGGGCCGTCTGAGAGCAGGCCGGGGAGGAGGGCCTCTTTCCTTGGGGGAAGGCTGCGGGTTCCAGGACCCGCTTCCCCCACGCCAAGCCTTCCATGCCTCCCCCTTCCCCGATCCTCCTCTTCCCTCCTCCTCCCTCCTCCTTGTCCTCCTCCTCCCTCCTCCTGCTCCTCCTCCTCCTCCTCCGCCTCCTCCTCCTCCTCCCTCCGACTGCCTCCTCTCTCTCTGCTCTCCCTCCTCCGACCTCGGGCCCAGTCCTCGACCCCACTGAAGGCCACTCTCTCTCCCGATCAAGGTGCCAGGGCACACCAAGTCGTCCCGAACGACTTCCTCCCCCCCCTTCCCTCTCCCCATGTGCCCCTTGCAATGCCTCGAGGAGCAACACATCACATATGAATAAACTGTCGGGGCTCCGCGCAAAATTCGTGGATCTGGCGCGCGGAACGCGCCGTGGGCAATTCTTTTAGTATTCTTGATTTCTCGTCCAAAAATACGCCTGTAGGAGGACACGCCCGACCTAAACCTAGCCTTCCCTACCCTCTCTCTTGGGTCTGCGCTGGGCCCCCCTGGCGGCGCCTCTGGCGCTGCCCCTGGCGCGCCCCGCGCGCCAGTGGGGGGGGGGTCAGCGCAGAGCCGAGGAACCCGCGCGGGCCTCCCGAAGCTGATGCCGATGCCGTTGTCTGTTCCTCCAGCCTCGCCTTCCCTTCCCTCCCGCCTCCTTCGCCCCAGACCCTCTCACAACCCCTCCTCTAGCCTCGCCTTCCCTTCCCTCCCTCCTCCTTCCTTCCCTCCTCTAGCCTCGCCCTCCCTTCCCGCATTTCTCCTTCCGCGGCCCACCTCCGCACCTGCTTCTGCTCCTGCTCCCCCTCCAGAGGGGCCAGGGCCTCCTACTGGCGGCCGCGTGCGGGGGTGTTCCTTGCTGCGTGAGATCCCGGCCGAGGCGAGCGCCCAGCCTGAGGCGAGCGTCTCCGTCCTCCGGTTGGCGGGTCGAGGGAGGGGCCAGCCGTGGAGGCACCAACTTTCGGAGGTTCGCGCTGATCTCTTGGCTCTGCGCTGGACACCCCCCTCCCTGGCGCGCGGGGCCAGGGGCGGCGTCGGAGGCGCCGTCAAGGGTGCCCAGCGCCGATCAAGGAAGTCCGCACGGACCTCCGGACGTTTACGCTTGTGCGGTTTATTCTGGCGTTGCGTGACATCCGACCCCGCACCAAACTGCCACGACGGTTTTGGAGGTGGCCGCGGCGATCGCTGCGGCCACAATTCGGGGCAAGGTTTTTTTTGTCAAGGAGTGGCATGCCGGCATGCCTCTTCCCCCCCTCGCTCTGCGATGCAGACGTGGCTCATAATAAACAATATCGCGACAGAGAGTTGTCAGCTTATGTCCAACATGGGCAGTCCTGAGGGTA